ATGACTGAACAAAAGTTCCGAGAATTTGGTGACGAATGATTTTTTTCGTGAAAATCTTCGCTTCAAGAGAGGCTTGTATAATTCAACTGTCTCAATCTTTTGCCAATAAGGACGATGACTTTTATAAGCGAGGCATAATGAAATTACGCTTAAAAAGGGGAATAAAGTATCGAGCAAAATAGCGTATATTTGACCTAAATCGGATTAGTGTCACTATGATAAATAAGCCTTCAATTTCGTGCAAAAATAATGGATTTGTTTTTACTATATCTGTTATATTACGAGAATAGAGTGACTATAGGTGATAAAAATATACTGTTTAAAAAAAACTAACTGCTTCTTTTAAATTTAATAATATATAATAGTATAATTATATAAGATATATAGAATATATATTTTCTTAATTTAAAATTATTTATATTTTATAATAGGAAATATGTTTCAATTAGAAAGAAATATGACAGTAAGGAAATTTTGATATTGTTGTCGTTGTTGTGGTTTCTTGAGTTAGTGCTATTGCGTACTTTTACTCTTTTGTGGCTGGGAGGCTTATCCCTGCCCCACACTAGACTTTAACTATGCAGGAATTCATATCGTTTATATATCTTTTAATTGATGTCGAACCGTAGGTCAGCATATCATCCTGTGGGTCCAGAGGTGAACTTAAGGTTTGTTAGGGCGGAGTTGGGCAGCGTAAAACTTTTTAATTTTAAATTTTTTATAAAAATTATAATTTTTTTGCTCTGCATTCTAAAAGAATTGTTTAAGTAATTAAACAAAAACTGTAATTATAAGTAATCATTTTCTATTTTATCTTCAATTGTTATTCTAACTATGAATTATATACACACTTTATTAAGTATCTGTATATAAGTATTATATTTTATTAGGTTTAAACAAATTAATAAGTAACTAAATTCAACACTTACAAAAAACACAATAAAAAAGAGGTAATTAAATAATTAGAAGGAATAATATTTAAACATTCATATATATGCTATAAAACAGTTTAAAGGCCTCTCTGCCAGTTGAAAATCGTTCTTTCTTGAGTATAGATGTGATATTTTTATCTTAATATGACTGAAATACGACCACTAAATGAAGAATTAAAAGCAATTGCCAAGAATGAGTTAAATGAAGTTGAGAGCCGTATAGTTGAAGATATTTCAATGCTAAAAACATGGATCCAAAAGCAACCACATTTGAGAGCTCGTACGGACGACCAATTTTTAGTAACATTTCTTAGAGGCTGCAAATATAGTATCGAAAAAGCTAAATCAAAAATTGACTATTACTATACTATCAAAGCGTTATTACCTGAAATGTTTGTTAATCTTCAAATGACTGAAGAATTTGTTGAATTTGCACGCTTAGGGTAAGATAATAGATTTGTAACCAATATATATGTAACACATTTATAATTTTCATATTTTTTATTTTTAACTTAAGTTGCTTTTTAGTACTTCCACAGCCACTTGGCGGCATCGGTGGCCCACGTATATACCTAACAAACTTTACAAATTTAGATCCAAATAAAAACAGTTTAAGACAATATTTTCGATATCATACAATAGTTCATGAGTTTGAGATAAATATGGATGATACTGGTATCATAAATGGTTTTGTTGAAATTGTGGATTACTCCAAATACAACCCAGCATTTATAAAAGAATTTAATCCAATATTTTTAAAAAAATTATCAGTTTTTCTTGATAAAGCGGTGCCGATGCGCATAAAAGGATTACACATCGTTAATTGTCCAAAGGAAGGAGCAGTGTTTTTAAACATTGTGAGAAGTTTTCTAAATGAAAAACTAAAACAACGAGTAAGCAAAAATATTATTTAAATATTATTTATTATTATTAATATTATTAATAAAAAATATATCATTCATTTTTTGTTAATATCTTTTAACAGTTTTTCATTCACAAAAGCCTAGAAGATCTTTATAAAGTAATACCAAAGGAGAATCTACCAATTGAATATGGCGGCACCAATGGTTCTATATCGGAGATTAAAGCAGATATGGAAAAGAAACTTTTAGATTTTAATAATTATTTTATTGAAGAGACACAGTATGGCGTGAATGAAAAATTAAGAATTGGTAAAAAGGTAAATAGTGAAACTCTCTTTGGCATTGATGGATCATTTCGAAAATTAAATATTGATTAAAAGTGGTTTTGTTAAAATAGAAGGTCTATAGGAATATTCGTTTCATGGAAGCGATTTAATTTTATAACACTTGTAAAAGGTTTGTAACTTTACTAAACTACAATTCTCACCAAATTTTATTATGTAAAGTGCTTATCAATAATATAAGACAATTTGATTGATTATAAACACTTATCAAAATATTTTTTTGTGTTTTATATAAAAAAGAACTAATAACATTCTTTATTCAATCCAACTGAAATATTCAAGAAATATAATTATCAAAAACGAACAACTGAATATTCTTTCTTCGTTTGGTTTTTTTTCTTACTATTTAGTGTTTTTTAATAAATTGAATTGGGTAGATTGCAAATATCTGGCGTCTAGATTTAACAAAGGATTTTGGTTAAATGTAATATTAAAAGTAAATTTTCCCACTATGTCAGACTTTAGGACAGATTTTTTTTACTCTTAGTTAACTTTAATCGCTGGTTAATTCTTGTAATTATTCAAGATGTGATACCATTCCCATCACATAAATTTATATCATATAAATAATGTTAAATGTTTAATGTTCCAAAACACGAAAAAGGGTGTGATTCCCTATATATATATATAACTTACACAAAATTTAAAGTAATTTCTATACTTGAATCCTTCCTTAACTTATTATTTTATTTTAAACTAAAAATGCATTAATAAAAATAAAAACTCACTAATTGCCTCTCCAACAAATGACGTTAATATGAGGTTAATCAATCTGTGATTTTTACTAGAATATTGCGTAATCATTGATTACATAATCAAAGTCAATAAATAATGAATGGACAAAATAAATAATCAAAGATTCTTAACAAATAATTAAAAATAATAATGGGGCTGATCTAATTATAGAATTAAATATAAAGGTGACAAGACCGATTTTTAAAGTTATAAGCTTTTTATATTGTAATTTTCATGTGAGAATTTATAACTCTTGAACCAAAGAAGGTAATGGAAAAAGTTGCCCATAGTAGTAAATTGCATCAATATCATATCAATAGTCAAATCGATTTCCCGAGTGCGTCTACATGACAAAGAATATTACTAGAATCACCTGTGCTGGACAAACTTTTTTCATTGCGGTACGCAAATTTTAGATCAGTCATAAACACAAAGCTTTTGAGGAATATATAAATTAATCAGTAAGAAGGGTGGAACTCTGCAGAAACCCCTTAGCTATCAAAGAGTAAAAATGTCAAGATTTTCGTCTAGAATTTTGTTTAATGCTATATCTGTTATAGCAGAAATCAAAGGATTTGCCAAGCATTTATCGAACACCTGTTAGTACAATTGTTTGTTAAAATTGAGATAATTATTGTCCTTCAGGCAAAAGTCTAGTATTTTACCAAATTTAATTTTAGATATTTTAGTGCAGTCTTTGATAATATTTCTATTTTTAAAAGATTATAATTTGTTATGTATAATTTGTTATGATAATGTATGATGAAAGAGAGTTACAGTCAAACAAAAGGACATTGCAACACTCAGTTTTGCATTGGCAAAGAAAGACTATTCAACAAGAAATGTCCACAGATCGTGCTATCTTTCAATTACTATATACCTATATAAACTAATAACGGAGCACACATTAGGGCAATCGGTTTGTAGATACCTAGTAAAGTTTCACAAGTACTAAAAATGAACATAGCCCTTCAATGGATCTAATGCAATTCAGCTAACCTCGTCTCTAGTTCGTATCATTAAAGATTTGAAGAACTAAAAGAAATATCTTAGCTTAAATGCTATTGTATGGATCTTAGCATTTCAGTAGAATATACATTTATTTTGGTCTTTTATAACATGACTACTGATATTATGAATGATATTTCAGATGAAACTTTCATTAAATATTTCATAAAATTTTATATAGGAGTATTAAGAAATTTATTAATTAATCAAAATAAAATGCATTAACATTATATACATTAACATATATCTCGTTATAAAGAGAATTTTTAACCTGATTTAACATTAAGTTATTTAAAAAAGCTAAACAGACAAGCAATAATTTGATTATAGTAATAACATATATTACCAGAAAGGATAAATACGAAAAATATATAGTTTAAATAAAATAAATTCTTTACTTTAAATTTTAAAATTAAAATTAATTCTATAAAATAAAAATAAGAGATTACTCCAATAATCTTGATTCTTGATTCTTTTTCTTGAATTAGTGCTATTACGCACTTTTACTCTATAATGGCTGGGGGCTTATCTCTTCCCCACACAAGGCTTTAACTAGGCTAAGAAATCATATCATTTATTTGTCTTTTAGTTAATGACGGACCTTAAATCAGCATATCCTCCTGAGAGTCCAGAAGAGGATTTGAGGATTATTAGGGCGTGGTTAAGTAGCGTATCAACTTTACTGAATAATTTTAGAGCTCTGTCTCTAATATATTTTTTCACTGAGTTTTGTTTTATGATAGCAAATCTATTTCGAATAGGAAAGGAGATGATAGTAAAGAAATTTTCATATTCAATTTTTTCATTTTTTTGTTTTGGACTGCATTACACTTTATTATTATATTACACTTTTTACACTACATTCTATAAGAATTGTTTAAATAATTAAGCAAAAACTGTAATTATAAGTAATCATTATATATCTGATATTCAATTGTTATTCTAATTATTAATTATATACACACTTTATTGAGTATTAGGTTTAAACAAATAAATAAATGGATAAATTCAAAACACATAACATAAAAAAACAATAAAAAATAAATAATTGAACAATTAGAAAGAACAATGTTATAACATACGTATAACATATGGTAAAATCCATTTAAAGGCCTCTCTGTCAGTTGAAAATCGTTCATTCTTGAGTATAGATGTGACATTTTTATCTTAATATGACTGAAATACGACCACTAAATGAAGAATTAAAAGCAATTGCCAAGAACGAGTTAAATGAAGTTGAGAGTCGTATAGTTGAAGATATTTCAACACTAAGAACATGGATCCAAAAACAACCACATTTGAGGGCTCGTACGGATGACCAATTTTTAGTAACTTTTTTAAGAGGCTGTAAATATAGTATGGAAAAAGCTAAATCAAAAATTGACTATTACTATACTATCAAAGCGTTAATACCTGAAATGTTTGTTAATCTTCAAATGACTGAAGAATTTGTTGAATTTGCACGCTTAGGGTAAGATAATAGATTTGTAACTAATACATATGTAACACATTTATAATTTTCATATTTTTTATTTTTAACTTAAGTTGCTTTTTAGTACTTCCAAAGCCACTTGGCGGCATCGGTGGCCCACGTATATACCTAACAAACTTTACAAATTTAGATCCAAATAAAAACAGTTTAAAACAATATTTTCGATATCATACAATAGTTCATGAGTTTGAGATAAATATGGATGATACTGGTATTATAAATGGTTTTGTTGAAATTGTGGATTACTCCAAATACAACCCAGCGTTCATAAAAGAATTTAATCCAATATTTTTAAAAAAATTATTAGTTTTTCTTGATAAAGCGGTGCCGATACGCATAAAAGGATTACACATCGTTAATCCTTCAAAGGAAGGAACAGTGTTTTTAAACATTGTGAGGACTTTTCTAAATGAAAAACAAAAACAACGAGTAAGCAAAAATATTATTTAAATATTATTTATTATTATAAATATTATTAATAAAAAATATATTATTCATTTCTTGTTAATATCTTTTAACAGCTTTTCATTCACAAAAGTCTAGAAGATCTTTATAAAGTAATACCAAAGGAGAATCTACCAATTGAATATGGTGGCACCAATGGTTCTATATCGGAGATTACAGCAGATATGGAAAAGAAACTTTTAGATTTTAATAATTATTTCATTGAAGAGACACAGTATGGCGTGGATGAAAAATTAAGAATTGGTAAAAAGGTAAATAGTGAAACTCTCTTTGGCATTGATGGATCATTTCGAAAATTAAATATTGATTAAAAGTGGTTTTGTTAAAATAGAAGGTCTACAGGAATATTCGTTTCATGGAAGCGATTTAATTTTATAACACTTGTAAAAGGTTTGTAACTTTACTAAACTACAATTCTCACCAAATTTTATTATGTAAAGTACTTATCAATAATATAAGACAATTTGATTGATTATAAACACTTATCAAAATATTTTTTTGTGTTTTATATAAAAAAGAACTAACATTCTTTATTCAATCCAACTGAAATATTCATGAAATATAATTATCAAAAACGAACAACTGAATATTCTTTCTTCGTTTGGTTTTTTTTCTTACTATTTAGTGTTTTTTAATAAATTGAATTGGGTAGATTGCAAATATCTGGCGTCTAGATTTAACAAAGGATTTTGGTTAAATGTAATATTAAAAGTAAATTTTCCCACTATGTCAGACTTTAGGACAGATTTTTTTTACTCTTAGTTAACTTTAATCGCTGATTAGTCCTGTAATTATTCAAGATGTGATACCATTCCCATCACATAAATTTATATCATATAAATAATGTTAAATGTTTAATGTTCCAAAACACGAAAAAGGGTGTGATTCCCTATATATATATATAACTTACACAAAATTTAAAGTAATTTCTATACTTGAATCCTTCCTTAACTTATTATTTTATTTTAAACTAAAAATGCATTAATAAAAATAAAAACTCACTAATTGCGTCTCCAACAAATGACGTTAATATGAGGTTAATCAATCTGATATTATTATTATTATTTAATGTATTATTCATTAATTATTGATTACATAATCAAAGTCAATAAATAATGAATGGACAAAATAAATAATCAAAGATTCTTAACAAATAATTAAAAATAATAATGGGGCTGATCTAATTATAGAATTAAATATAAAGGTGACAAGACCGATTTTTAAAGTTATAAGCTTTTTATATTGTAATTTTCATGTGAGAATTTATAACTCTTGAACCAAAGAAGGTAATGGAAAAAGTTGCCCATAGTAGTAAATTGCATCAATATCATATCAATAGTCAAATCGATTTCCCGAGTGCGTCTACATGACAAAGAATATTACTAGAATCACCTGTGCTGGACAAACTTTTTTCATTGCGGTACGCAAATTTTAGATCAGTCATAAACACAAAGCTTTTGAGGAATATATAAATTAATCAGTAAGAAGGGTGGAACTCTGCAGAAACCCCTTAGCTATCAAAGAGTAAAAATGTCAAGATTTTCGTCTAGAATTTTGTTTAATGCTATATCTGTTATAGCAGAAATCAAAGGATTTGCCAAGCATTTATCGAACACCTGTTAGTACAATTGTTTGTTAAAATTGAGATAATTATTGTCCTTCAGGCAAAAGTCTAGTATTTTACCAAATTTAATTTTAGATATTTTAGTGCAGTCTTTGATAATATTTCTATTTTTAAAAGATTATAATTTGTTATGTATAATTTGTTATGATAATGTATGATGAAAGAGAGTTACAGTCAAACAAAAAGACTATTCAACAAGAAATGTCCACAGATCGTGCTATCTCTCAATTACTATATACCTATATAAACTAATAACGGAGCACACATTAGGGCAATCGGTTTGTAGATACCTAGTAAAGTTTCACAAGTACTAAAAATGAACATAGCCCTTCAATGGATCTAATGCAATTCAGCTAACCTCGTCTCTAGTTCGTATCATTAAAGATTTGAAGAACTAAAAGAAATATCTTAGCTTAAATGCTATTGTATGGATCTTAGCATTTCAGTAGAATATATATTTATTTTGGTCTTTTATAACATGACTACTGATATTATGAATGATATTTCAGATGAAACTTTCATTAAATATTTCATAAAATTTTATATAGGAGTATTAAGAAATTTATTAATAAATCAAAATAAAATGCAAAATAGTTTATCGATGAAAATTGTAATTTTTATATACATTAACATATATCTCGTTATAAAGAGAATTTTTAACCTAATTTAACATCAAGTTATTTAAAAAAGCTAAACAGACAAGCAATAATTTGATTATAGTAATAACATATATTACCAGAAAGGATAAATACGAAAAATAAATAGTTTAAATAAAATAAATTCTTTACCTTAAATTTTAAAATTAAAATTAATTCTATAAAATAAAAATAAGAGATTACTCCAATAATCTTGATTCTTGATTCTTTTTCTTGAATTATAGTGCTATTACTCACTTTTACTCTATAATGGCTGGGGGCTTATCTCTTCCCCACACAAGGCTTTAACTAGGCTAAGAAATCATGTCATTTATTTGTCTTTTAGTTAATGACGGACCTTAAATCAGCATATCCTCCTGAGAGTCCAGAAGAGGATTTGAGGATTATTAGGGCGTGGTTAAGTAGCGTATCAACTTTACTGAATAATTTTAGAGCTCTGTCTCTAATATATTTTTTCACTGAGTTTTGTTTTATGATAGCAAATCTATTTCGAATAGGAAAGGAGATGATAGTAAAGAAATTTTCATATTCAATTTTTTCATTTTTTTGTTTTGGACTGCATTACACTTTATTATTATATTACACTTTTTACACTACATTCTATAAGAATTGTTTAAATAATTAAGCAAAAACTGTAATTATAAGTAATCATTATATATCTGATATTCAATTGTTATTCTAATTATTAATTATATACACACTTTATTAAGTATTAAGTTTAAACAAATAAATAAATGGATAAATTCAAAACACATAACATAAAAAAACAATAAAAAATAAATAATTGAACAATTAGAAAGAACAATGTTATAACATACGTATAACATATGGTAAAATCCATTTAAAGGTCTCTCTGTCAGTTGAAAATTGTTCTTTCTTGAGTATAGATGTGACATTTTTATCTTAATATGACTGAAATACGACCACTAAATGAAGAATTAAAAGCAATTGCCAAGAACGAGTTAAATGAAGTTGAGAGTCGTATAGTTGAAGATATTTCAACACTAAGAACATGGATCCAAAAACAACCACATTTGAGGGCTCGTACGGATGACCAATTTTTAGTAACTTTTTTAAGAGGCTGTAAATATAGTATGGAAAAAGCTAAATCAAAAATTGACTATTACTATACTATCGGATCGTTATTGCCTGAATTGTGTACGAATCTTCAAGTGAATGAAAAAATTATTCAATTTGGACGTGCAGGGTAAGATAATAGATTTGTGACAAGTATGTTACGTACGTAACGCACTCTTATAATTTTAATTCATAAATTTTATTTTTAAATTTAGTTGCTTTGTAGTGCTTCCGAAGCCCCTTGGCGGAATGGGCGGCCATCGTATACATCTAACAATTTATAAGAATTTAGATCCAAATAAACACCATTTAGTTGATATGCTACAATATCAAACACTGATTAATATGTTTGAGATAAATATGGACGACAATTGTGCCATTAGTGGTGTGACTGAAATTGTGGATTTGTCCAAACTTAACAAAGCAATTTTAAAGGAATTTGATCCAATATATTCTAAAAAATTAATAACTTTTTACAATAAGGCGCAGCCACTGCGCATGAAAGGATTCCACTTTCTTAATTGTCCAAAGGAAGGAGCAGCGTTTTTAAACATTGCGAGAAGTTTTCTAAATGAAAAACTAAAACAACGAGTAAGCAAAAATATTATTTAAATATTATTTATTATTATTAATATTATTAATAAAAAATATATCATACATTTTTTGTTAATATCTTTTAACAGTTTTTCATTCACAAAAGCCTAGAAGATCTTTATAAAGTAATACCAAAGGAGAATCTACCAATTGAATATGGTGGTACCAATGGTTCTATACCGGAGATTCAAGCAGATATGGAAAAAAAACTTTTAGACTTTAATAATTACTTCATGGAAGAGACGAAGTATGGAGTGGATGAAGAATTAAGAATTGGTAAAAAGATAAATAGTGAAACTCTGTTTGGCATTGACGGATCATTTCGAAAATTAAATATTGATTAACTTTTTTGTTATTGAAATTTTACACGATTTATAAGAAATTAATAACTGAGGTTATTAAAAATAATTTACTTTCTTCAATAATTTTTGTTTATTTTCACATTTATTTATCTAATTTAATTTACTAAAGAAATCAAATCAGATTGCTTAAAGAAACTATTCAGAATTGTTATTCATATTTAGATAAAAGAAAATCAAAACCACTCTTTATTCACATATAGTGTGAACTATATGATAATTAAATAAAAATATTAAAAATGTAATTTTTTGTAATATTTTTTTTTATTTAATACTTAATTTAATAATATAAATTTTAAAGTTATTTAAGTATTTTATCAAAACAAGACTGTAGCATATTATTGTCTTATTTCGATTTAAGAAGTATAAACGCTGGTATACCCAAAGGTACTGTCCTCGCTTCCACTTTTTATTTATTGTATACATCTGAATTGCTATCTTATAACTAATATATTACTACATCATAACAGGGAAAAAAACGCTTGAAGCAACAAGGAGTGAGTTGCAATTGGCAGTTAGCTTTGCAATGAACAGAAACGTGGAACTTGAAGCTTAATAACACTAAGACAATACACATCAATATCACATTAGAAAATAATAGCTTTTAAGTCCATACACATCAATGGTTCAAATACACCATATACAGTCGAGCTAGATATCTCGATAGAACGCTTCATGCGAAATTGCGTTGGAAGACGCATGTGAGAGAGGCACGACTGACTTCAGTTAAGACTGAACAAAATATATTTTCGCATCGGTAGGCACCCGATAATGCTTATACAAAACAAACTTCTGTTATATAAAAACTATGTTATATACAACTATAAATGTGTACTTTCGAAAACATTATTGCATTAATTCAGCACTTTTAATACAAAGTTTTATGACTGAGAGTCAATACTCCATATTATATAGGAAATTCTGACTCTTCCATCACAATCTCAATATTTTAATCATTATCAATGTAGTCAAAAAATAAACCAAGAACATAAACAAAGACTTTTATATCATGTTAATGTTGAAGCATCTTCATTATTCAAGCGAAGTGCTCAATGGCGACGGCTTAAACGTTTCTTTTAAATTATTTATGTGGTCTTACATTATGTTCCCATTGCTTTCATTAAAACAATTTATTTAATTTACAATGAGCTTTCATGTTTTTTAACTAAGTTAATAAGGAAAATTACAAAATATATTTCCGAAAAAAGAAATTATAGAAGAAGAAAATATAAAAAACAAGTCAAAAAAAAAACAAACTAGTCAAACATGTTCAGACAAGAAGTAAGAATGTTTAAAATGTTTATTTTTTACAGATAATATATATAACTGATCTAGGCCATTTTATTCACAATCCTGTCCCCAAAATCTTTCTTTTTTTAATATAACAACTTGTTTAAAATTTACACTTTATATAATAATAAATACCTATAATAACAAAAGTCTAGCAATTTGTCCCTTTGGATACAAAAAAAAGCTCGATGTGGGTCTGCCATACGAGTTAACGCAAAAAAACCTCGTAGACCAAATATCCATCTGCGAATCGCAACAAAATCGACCCATTTCTAAAGCAGTTGGTAATGAAAAGTGGATCAGGATCACTTACGACAACGTCAAGTGAAAATGGTCATGGTCAAATCGCGACAAGTTTCCTGAAACGGCCAGAAAGGTTTTGATGAAGGTTTGGTGGGATTTGCAGAGAATTATCTACTATGAAATGCTCCCCTATCACAAAACTCTTAACTTGGAGCTGTACGGCTAACAATTCGACCGCCTGAAGGAAACAATCGCACAGGAACTGCCACTTTTGAGCATTAGGAGAAGAATTGTGTTTCATCAGGACAACATCAGGCCACATACATCAATAATGACTGGCCAAAAGTTCCGAGAATTTGGTGACGAATGATTTTTTTCGTGAAAATCTTCGCTTCAAGAGAGGCTTGTATAATTCAACTGTCTCAATCTTTTGCTAATAAGGACGATGACTTTTATAAGCGAGGCATAATGAAATTACTCTTAAAAATGGAAATACAGTATCGAGCAAAATAGCGTATATTTGACCTAAATCGGATTATTGTAACTATGATAAATAAGCCTTCAATTTCGTGCAAAAATAATGCATTTGTTTTTACTATATCTGTTATATTACGAGAATAGAGTGACTATAGGTGATAAAAATATACTTTTTTAAAAAAAACTAATTGCTTCTTTTAAATTTAATAATATATAATTGCATAATTATATAAGATATATAGAATACTAGTAGATGACCCGGCGAACTCTGTTCCGCCTTAAAGGCAATAAATAAGCAGTTTTTTTTTAATTGGAAAAAATACCTACATTAATCATTCATAATTTATTTGTGTATTTTAGTACACATCGCAAATTATCTATTTGTTGACCTCTGTTGTTGCTCGACCTTCAGTCCTTAAATTTGCAGTATTTCGTATTCTTCTTGCATTACGGCTTTGTCGGGAAAGATTCGATCGTCTTGGTCGCGGCATTATTAAAAAACTAAAAACTCAAATTTTCAACCATACCATACATTATAATTGTTAATTATTTATTTTGTTGAGTTTGCAACAACCAGGTAGTTTTATTGATTAAAAACGATATTTATTGCAACACAAACTAATATTGATCTAATACAACTTTTAAAAACACATTAACTAAGTTATATTTCTATCTGTTAAATTTTAATAAAATATTTTAATAAAGTATTAGTATTGCTGTTAAGCTAGAATTACTTTGTATAGGGACAAAGAAGCTTTATTAAATTTTAGAGGAATTTTTAGAATAACATAGCATAGCTTCTTTGTAAAAGCACCAGAATGGTCGCTTTACATATAGTAAGTAAAACAATATGCATTACAAAATGTCTCTACAAAAAGAGTAGCTTTGAAAAGAAATAAAGAAATAGCAAAACCAAAAAGTTAAACTTTCAATTCGTTGAACTTGTGTTTCCAAAATAAAGCTGTAGTTTATAAGCTCGTTCTAATTTAAAGCACGGCAAGTGCGTTGGTTGTTGTCACTAATTAAATAAAAATAAGTGACAATAAAACCTGGAACTTGAGCATTGAAAGTTTGTGCAGCCTTGACTTCTTGTGGATAACACGATTAGTCATCGCTTCTAATTTGACAGGCACGAGTTCTAAGCCTGGCACTTGCAGTCCAAACAAATTATATACGGACTATAAACTAATTAAATAAAATTCGATTAGTCCAAAGACCACTGATGAAGAGTACTTGGCAATACTCGAAACAGCGTTGTATGGTCAGCCAAACTTCAATAAAATTAAAAATAAATTTTTGTGTTTGTACTTTATTTCTTTCTTTGCTATTCGAAAATTCCGATAAAATATTTTCTATCAAAAATTTGATAATTTCAAAACCTACTTTGTCGTGAACGGGATAAACAGGTATCCTATGTCCTTCTCCTGGCCTTAAACTACCTCCCTGCCAATTTTCAGCTAAATCGGTTCAGCCTATATCCTTCTCCTGGCCTTAAACTACCTCCCTGCCAATTTTCAGCTAAATCGGTTCAGCCGTTCTTGAGTTATAAGTGGTGTAACAAAAACACATCTTTCTTTTATATATATAGATATATTTTCTTAATTTAAAATTATTTATATTTTATGATAGGAAATATATTTCAATTAGAAAGAAATATGACAGTAAGGAAATTTTGATATTGTTGTCGTTGTTGTGGTTTCTTGAGTTAGTGCTATTGCGTACTTTTACTCTTTTGTGGCTGGGAGGCTTATCCCTGCCCCACACTAGACTTTAACTATGCAGGAATTCATATCGTTTATATATCTTTTAATTGATGTCGAACCGTAGGTCAGCATATCATCCTGTGGGTCCAGAGGTGAACTTAAGGTTTGTTAGGGCGGAGTTGGGCAGCGTAAAACTTTTTAATTTTAAATTTTTTATAAAAATTATAATTTTTTTGCTCTGCATTCTAAAAGAATTGTTTAAGTAATTAAACAAAAACTGTAATTATAAGTAATCATTTTCTATTTTATCTTCAATTGTTATTCTAACTATGAATTATATACACACTTTATTAAGTATCTGTATATAAGTATTATATTTTATTAGGTTTAAACAAATTAATAAGTAACTAAATTCAACACTTACAAAAAACACAATAAAAAAGAGGTAATTAAATAATTAGAAGGAATAATATTTAAACATTCATATATATGCTATAAAACAGTTTAAAGGCCTCTCTGCCAGTTGAAAATCGTTCTTTCTTGAGTATAGATGTGATATTTTTATCTTAATATGACTGAAATACGACCACTAAATGAAGAATTAAAAGCAATTGCCAAGAACGAGTTAAATGAAGTTGAGAGTCGTATAGTTGAAGATATTTCAACACTAAGAACATGGATCCAAAAACAACCACATTTGAGGGCTCGTACAGATGACCAATTTTTAGTAACATTTCTTAGAGGCTGCAAATATAGTATCGAAAAAGCTAAATCAAAAATTGACTATTACTATACTATCAAAGCGTTATTACCTGAAATATTTGTTAATCTTCAAATGACTGAAGAATTCGTTGAATTTGCACGCTTAGGGTAAGATAATAGATTTGTAACCAATATATATGTAACACATTTATAATTTTCATATTCTTTATATTTAACTTAAGTTGCTTTTTAGTACTTCCAAAGCCACTTGGCGGCATCGGTGGCCCACGTATATACCTAACAAACTTTACAAATCTAGATCCAAATAAAAACAGTTTAAAACAATATTTTCGATATCATACAATAGTTCATGAGTTTGAGATAAATATGGATGATACTGGTATCATAAATGGTTTTGTTAAAATTGTGGATTACTCCAAATACAAGCCAGCATTCATAAAAGAATTTAATCCAATATTTTTAAA